TTGTACAATAGTCTTGTTTATAATAGGGACTATAGTCTGTTCTATTGATACGACTATAGCCTAGCCGATAGTCAGGACTGTAGGCGTTATAGTCTGGACTATTGTCTAGTCTACAGTCTTGGCAAAAGCCCTGCCTAAAATCTGGACTATAGTCCAGTCCATAGACTGGACAAAAGGCTAGCTTATATCTACACCCTCAATACAATACTCAATACTCTGAACTATAGTATTTTATATAGTTTTGTCTATAGTCTGGACAAAACTCTAGCTTATAGTCTTGTCTATGGTCTGGGCAATAATCTAATCTGCAGAGAAAACGTAGTGTTGCATAATTGTAATCTGCAAGGATACAATTAATTTCCATCTTTGACAAACACATGTTAAAATAACTAAGGTTTCATTATATTTAACACCGTTCTACCGGTTATGGTTTAATGGTTATTGTGGTATGTTGTAGCTATTTTTACCATTCAATGTCATGAGGGATTTACTGTCAATACATTGTATTGTATTCAAATATTTTTCAACCAATACCCTCTTGTTAAATACAGGTATGAAAATACATACAAGTAAATTTTGTCTATAGTTTTTATTTGTAAAACAGTTACAATGCTGAAAATATTATTGCAACATTATTTAGGACAACAATGCTGGTGCACTAGTGTGGCTGACATATGCAGCATTTGTGGTTTTCATTGGTTTGTTATATCGAAATAAAACCGAAAATTTTTTTTGTAGATTATTGATTTTCCCTGACAATTGTTTTATTATTTTTTTGTCTCGTTCTCTCACACACCAAATGTATTGTTGTCCTTATGTCTGGCTAGCGATTAGTTTTTCATGTTTTTTTTTTTTCAACTGCTCATTATTTTCAATTAGTATTGAGGTGTTAATTGTTAATTTACATGTTTATTGTTAATTACTAGTTTAGAAGGCACTCCTCAGTCTAAATAAAAATCATAGCATATTTGAAGGTTTTGTGTAGCTGTAGATAGAAATTTATGGTTTGAAATTTCTATTAGAAATAATGAGGGTTTTTTTGTTCAGAGATATTATTAGTAAAATTTGTTTAATTGCAAAACTAAAAGCCTTATGGTGTTTAACAACAAAGAATTGTAGCCTATAGCTAAGGGATTTTTATTTAAATTAAAAATTCAAAGTAGGCTTTTAGGGGGTTTTAGCAAATAAATTAGAAATTTTGAAACAAATAAACTAAAAATGAAAAAAAAGAAAAATAAACTATTACAAATTAAAATATTTTAACAGTTTTGTGTTTAGTAGCAAAAAATTATAGCCTATATTTTAGGCATTTCTAAATAAACAAAATATTTATAGCATACTTTAAGGCTTTAAAAAAATTTATGAAAAAAGTAATTGTTTTGGAGAAAGCTCACAAATTACATAAAATTAAAGACAACAGTTTGCCTTTTTGTTAATGTTCATTACATATTTATAAATATATATATAGCCTATTTTAGGGCAAAAAAGTTTTTTATTTAAATTTCTTTACTTTATCTTTAACCTAATTACTGAAATGTAAAGATTTTTTTATAATTAAATTATATTTTTGTATATAATTTATAGCTACACATAAATTATAATAATTTCTTTGCTAGAATAGCATAAAATACTGCCTACTTTTAGGCAAAATTCTTAGAAATTAATAAATTAGAAAAAAACTAAAACATTTTAAGCATATATTTGGCATAAAATCAAAATTATAATTATAAAACTAAAAAAACTTGGCTTCAGTTTACTCAGAAATCCATAACATGTATTTGTAAAAATCAACAGCCTAAAACTCGGCAATATGTACAGAAACAACCTAAATTACTTTAAAAGAAATATTTTTAAATAAAAACACTGTACAAATTTAAAAACGACCCTGACACTATAACAACAATCTTAAAAAAGAGAACAAGAAACAAAGGAAACAACACTGCAATAGTAATTTTTCTTGTTTGCTTTGTTTTTCTTGGGGAAAAATGCCCTAAATACAACTCCTTTTAGCAAAATTTACTTATATGTAAAACAATAAAAACATACACAATTGAAGTAATTGTATGCTGCTCACACATATATTTAAATAAACAAGAGAAAAACAAAAACAAAAAAGTAATAAAAATATTACTCATACAATAATAATCAGGCAGTGCATGGTAGTTGTGAGTTTAAGTATAAAGAAACAAGTGTTTGCTTTTAGGCGCGCGAATACATCTAAGGGAGAGAGAGAGAGTGTGCATATATGAAAGAACACTTAAGTTAAATAAAAATAAACATACAAGCAGACAAAAAAAATGAAATGTAAAGTAAACCTTTAAAATTATTTAACATGCACAAACACAACCAATAAAGTTAAGTAGTATAAACAGCATAAAACAATAACAACAACCCAGCAGTTTTACAAGGAGTACGGGTGCATATCTTTTGTATTGCAGAGTGAACTTTTGATTTAATAACAAAGTCGCATATAATTGTACTCTCTTAAGGGTCAATTGGATTCCTCCTAGTACAGACGGACATACAGACAGTCTCATTTTAAAATAAATATAAACTTTTTTAAATTAATCTGAGAGAAAGTTTTAGTTTGTTTGTTTATATATTTATTTGTTACATATAGTTGTTGTCTTGATATAAAAGTAAATATATTTATAATAAATAAAACTGCTCAGAAACAGCTAGAGTTTGAAAAAAACCCATACTTTTTATATAAATAATGTAAAATCATACTCCTTTTTTTTCAGGTAGATTACTTGCATATATCAGAAAATTTGCAAGAAATGCTGCAATTTTATGGGCATAACTTAAGGCGCAAAATATTGAATTTCTTGTAACAATCATATTGTTATACATATATCAATGCCTTAAAGTAGGCAATCATAATGTTAAATGCCTTAAAATGCCATTAACCAAAGCTTAAAGGTATAAAATTATTAAAGGAAAAATTTCAATGTAAAGTAATGCATAGTCTGGCATACTAGTCTTGGACATTGGCTAAATACTAACAAAATTAGTTACAGTCTAGCACTGGCAAATACTTTTTCATATAATCTGAAAATTCCTGCTAAAACAAAACTAAAAGTATGCAACAATTTTATGTTTTATAAAAAATATTAGTTACAAAATAAAACTTTAACTTTAAGTGTAATTAGTTTTCCTTAAAAGTATGCTTTAAATTTACAAATAAAGTACGAAATATTTTATTAAACAAAATGTTGTTATTTTACAAAATAAAAAACTGCATATTTTTCTAATTGCATTAATTAAAATTCGTTAAAATTCCTTTAACTGCCTCCCCTAAAGCTAGGCTTTAAATTCATTAAAATATTAAATTAAAAACAAATCCTCATAAACCACAAATACTATTACAAAATACGCTTTTAAACTATTACCGTCAGACAATCTACATAATTGACCACAAATTTTGTGTAGCCCTGAAAACAACTTGAAATGTTTAAACTCACTATCATGACTGACCAACACAACCCACTTTCTCTTGCACTCTTACAATTTCCCTTAGAAGGTATACAATTGAGCGTTTCTCTCGCAGAGATGGGAAGTTTAATAAGATCATACTTTTTTCATTCTCAAGCCTATACCCGTTTTATAATTCATACTATAGTACCATTCTATAATCAAGTGTAATTACTATATGATACAGACTATAGTTAGTCCATAGTCCAGACTACAAGTTGTCTATAGTCCAAACTTTCATTTACCTTATAATCCAAACTGCATTTACTTTATGGTCCAGACTATAGACATTCTATAGCTCTTACTATAGTAACATTATAGTCCAGGTTATAGTCATTCTATAGTCCTTACTATAATCACTCTATAGTCCCGACTATAACCATTCTGTAATCATACTATAGTCCGGACTATAGTAATTCTTTAATTATGCTATAGTCCTAAAGTCCTGACTATAACCATTATATAGTCCAGGTTATAGCCATTCTATAGTCCATACTAAAATCACTTTTTAGTCCAAACTATTATCTTTCTATAATCCAGAATATAGTAATTTTTTAGTCCAGACTGTAGTCATTCAATAGTAATGGTTTGTAGTTCAGACTGTAATCTATTTATAGTTCAAACAATAGTCTATACTATAATCACTCTATAATCTAAACCTCATCCGTTCTATAGTCCTGACTATAGTAATTTTATAATCCAAACTATAGCCATTCTATGGTCTTTACTTTAGTCATTCTATAGTCTAGACTATTGCCATTCTGTAATCATGCTATAGTTCAGACTATAGCCATTTTACAATAAAGATTATAACCATTCTATAGTCAAGATTACATTCACCCTGTAGTCCAGACTACAGTCATTCTACAATCCATATAATAGTCATTCTATTGTCGGGACTATAATCAATATATAGTCTGGACTTTGGTCACTTTATAATCCAGGCTAGACTGCAGATTATAATCATTTTAGTCATTCTGTAATCCCGTTTTTACTAAATTTACAGTACAGACTATAGTTTAGACTGTAGTCATTCTATGGTCCAAAATTTAGTCAATATATAGCTATTATAGGCCAGATTATATACAACTATATCCATACTATAGTCATATTTGCATACCCAAATTCCATCCCAGCTTTTTCTCTATCTCTTTCTCCCAACCTGTCTGTCCACCATTTTATTCATTTGTGTAATATTTGCTGGTGACAAACTATGCTTCTTTTCTCTTTTTTTTATAACAATGTTGGGGAAAAAATGCAATAAATAAAATAGTTTGGCGAAATGCCAAAAGAATATTTTTATGTAAAAGAGTTATTGCAACAACTATACATACATAAATTCGAACATATACAATGTATAGAAAATAATAGTCAAGCTTTTCTTAAAGTTACCTTGACACAATTTCACTGAAAACATATAACCAATATTTAGCAAATTGAAAACAAATTATATATATAAAATTTATTTAATAACTCTGTCTTTAACCCATTTTACTATGTCTCTCTCTCTCACTCTTTGCAGGTTCACAATGTGGCGGTCAATGTTGTTCGAATTCAACAGAAATCGATTTAAGAAAAAAGGCCACAACAGTATTTGAACGTCTATTGCATCATCATACAAAAAGTTTACGTGGCATTTTAGAATCAACAGCAAATTTATTTCAATGTAAGTATAAAAAAATTTAACAAAAAAAAAAATTCAAATGCAAAATCTTATTTCAAAACCCCTCTTTATAACATAAAAAAATTATTTGATTGATTAACAAATTTTATTATTTTGCAAGCCTTAAAAAAAATCATAAACTTTTTATGAATTTTAATTAAATTTAAAAGCATGGAAAAACATCAAACTTCATAAAAATTTGTTTGGTTTAATCTTATAAAAAACAGTATAAAAAAAGTTATTGCAAAAACTGCCCAAAAAAATGACAAATGTTTTCCTTGAAATTGCGGTTGGCAAATAAAGTCATAATTTTTTTTGAAAATTACTCATTAAAATAAAATAAATACCGTAAAAATGCATAAAATATAAACATTTATATTCATATTTTTTTATAAATGACAAATGTTTGTGTCATTGCATAATAAATAAATATTTAAAAAGGAAGATACAATTGTCAGTGGGATGTTGTGAATTTCAAATTAATTAAAAGTGCCTAAAATTCAATAATTTATAATGAGTTTTTTTGTATTTTTTGCAAATAAAATTTTTGGCACACTTGAGGATTATTATTTTGTTGACATTTTTATTAAAAAAAAATACAGCAGGAAATCTATAAATCCTTAATTAAGTATTTGCAAATAAATAATGACATTCATACCAAATCAGAATACTAATGATAATAATAATAACGGAGTTCATAAAAATTCGGTTAAAATTAAAAACTTATTAAGCATTTCGGTCTTAAACAGTTCAGTTCTATAATCCAGAATTTTCAAGACTATAGTCCAGACAAAAGTCATTCTATATATTCCTCGCTTTAGTCTCTCTATAGTTCAGACCATAACCTGTCTATAGTCCAGAGTATATTCAGTTTATATTCCTCACTCCAATCAGTCTAAAGACCTCGTTATAGTCAGTCTGCAAAGCAAACTATTGTAAGTCTATAGTCCAGCCAATAGTCAGTCGATACTCCGGATTATAGCAAGTCTAAAGTCCTCACTATCAATCTACACTATATATTCCAGACAATAGTTAGTCTATAGTCCAGACTATAGTAGGTCTATATTCCTCACTATAGTCCAGCTATTGTCAATGTATAGTCCATACTAGAGTTAGTACATAGTCCAGGGCCCAAATTACGATATCGATCGAAATCTCAATAGAATCTAAATGGAGATATCGATTGATGTCGTATGCCATAATTTGGGCTCAGGCTGTAGCTTAGAATACTGTCAATCTATAGGTGTCGCAATAGAAAGAGTAAAGTCCTTACTATAGTTAGTTTATAGTCAGTTTATATTATATATTAACGTTAGTGTATAGAACAGACTTCTGTTCTATAGTCTATATTCAGTCTGTATTCCAGACTCTAGTCAATATATTATCCTGATTATTGTGAGTCTGTAGTCCTGACTATAGTCAGTCTATAGTCAATACTGAAGTCACTTTATAATCCAGAATATATTCAGTCTATAATCCTTAGAATACTCTTTCATTAGTGCAAACATTGTCTTATCAATAGTCCAAACTAGTCTGTCTTATAGTCAGTCTATAGTCAAAACTGTAGTCAGTCTATAATCTAACTGTAGTTAGTCTATAGTCAAAACTATAGTTAGTCTATAGCTAAACTAAAATCAGTCCATAGTCGAAACTGTAATTAATCGATAGAATGGCTATAGTCAGTCTATAGTCACGAGTATAGTCTGTCTATAGTCAGTCTATAGTCAGACAATAGTCAAAACTAAAATCTGACATTAGTCAAAACTATAAACAGTAGATAGTCATGAATATAGTCAAGGCTATCCTCAAAACAGGCTATAGTCACTCTTTAGATATATATTGGAATCTTTAAATTTCCATTTAAAATTCAAATTATATTGAGAACAAATTTTGATTACCTCTTATAATATTAATATTTTTTGCGCACAAATTGTAATTACAAATATTATTGAGAATATAATTTGAGAATTGAAAAAAAATTTAGTTTAATAACACTATAAACAGACTTTAAACAAAAATTATATTTGCCGCTAATTTTCAATAATAAAAATTTTTGAAAATTTTAATTTTTTTCAACAACCCAAATGGGTTAATTGCTAACCAATACATTTGGGTAAATTGAAAAATATTTGCACAATAAATAAGTATAATTTAACAAATATAATTAAAATCTCTATAAACAAAAGCAAAATTTTTATAATATCAATATTAAATGAATGCAAATAATAATAATAATAATGAAAATAACAAAAACAAATTGTACAATGATCACGTTTCAAACATTTTAAAAATTCACATAGTGCAATCAAAATTATTGTATCAATGATGTTTTGTTTTTTTTTTTTTAATAAGGAGGTTCAGGGATATGAATTGTAAAGAGTCATTAGTTTTTACAAATTATTGATATTTAAATTGTATATTTGTTTAATCCTTCGAGAACTATTTACATGAGTAGAGCCGTTCTATGGTCTCTAGAGTAATTTATTTATTTTTACTGATGTATTTTAGCCTCATTTAGGCTAAAACAAATTCTACTACAGAGTAGTAAATTAATAAATTTAAGCAAAATTTCATTTAAAAACTTTAATTATCATGAGCATAGAAAACTTTTTACTTTAGCCGTTCCCCACCAAAAAAATATAATGAAAGAAAAAGAGAAATAACTTTTCAAAGAGTAATAAAAACAAATAAATACAGGAAATTGCACACACACACACAGAAACAAATACATAGAGAAATTAATAATGGACTACCACAACTTTATTGTTTTCTATTAACAGCCCTAGGTTATGCAATATATACTGTGTGCTATTTTAATTTTAAATTTTTACAATGAAAGTAGGCAATATTTAATAACAAAAATTGTATAAACAATAAAATGCGAGGGTTGTTCTCATTTACGTTAAAAGAAGTTTAGCAAAATTTTTAACTTTATGACAACCAATGATTTATTATATCATCCAGCTTAAAACAAATTCCTTTCTTTAAAATGAAATTCTTGGAAAAATACCTTTTTAAAGCATTTCCTCCTTCTACCCAGGAAATATTCCCAGAACTTTTTAATATAACTTTTAAAGAACAGCTCCCCTTCTCTGCTGCTTTAAAGCTAAAAAAAAGTTTAATACTTTATCTTTTAATGTCTCAAATAAAGGGTAAAAAAAGAAAACTTATGAGAAGACAGAAAAAGAAAAGGAAATGCATCAAAAGTGGAAATAATCCACTTATAAATACTAGAATTACTTTGTAATAATGTTTTCATCTTCATTTATGTCCGAAACATCTTTATTAAAAAATTCTTTTTAAAAAAAGAAAAAAATATCTTTGGAAAAAAGGTAACTAACCTTATAAAAGGCAAATGAATTTTGTTATTAACAAAAAAAAAGAGAAAAGAAACATCTGCAGCTTTAGTTACAAAAGTATGCATTAAAACTTATAAATATTCTCAGGCATAAACTTAAGCAATTTCTATTTATAAATATTAAAAAATTCTAAGCTTTTACTACAGCATATACGCACGCCCCGTAATACTTGTAGTTGTTATAGTAGTCGTTTATAATGCCAACAACAACAACGGGTACACAGCAGTTGTTCCAGCATTTTTAGTTAGAACAACAAAAACATTAGCTAGATTTACTGGAAGACTGTAGGAAATGTAACGTAACGGAAAAGTTATTTGCATTATAGCAAAGTAATAAAATTTTTAATGCCAATAGGAATAATTAATTATTTGGCAAGATAATTTTCGAAAATGCCTAACGGGTGTGACAGTGATGCTAGTTAAGAAATCAGATTGAAATTATATTATTGTTGTTAAACCCAAAAGGAAATGCCAACTTTAAGCCATTTGTATAACTCTGCTTATTCCTCAGCAACTAATTCCTCCACAACCAGTCCCTTTTTAATTCTCAGCAACCAGTTCTTTAACTCATCATGCGTACATATTTTCCTCTAAAACTTCATTATCATTTCACAGTGAATATAAAACTTTTAATCTCCAAGTAACCATTCTTGCGCCGACCATTCCCTTTGTTTAATTATGCTAGAGCCTATATGAGGTTAAAGGTTAAGCGATCAATAAGGCTTGAGGCTAAGATCATCTCGATCAGTAAGACATCGTATGATTGTTTTACACTTTTGATGAAACCTAATTTGGAATAAATTTATTAAAACAACTTATTCCGTTTCTCCAACTATAAAAGAAATCCGACGATTCTTTTTTAAAATCATGACCCGGCTAACATGAGATCACTGCTAATGCGAACAAAAGGATTTGAAGACTAAGATCATCACAATCGATAAGCTATTGAATAGATAAGTATCAAATTTGTTTAAAACTATTGATCCTGATGTGCTCTCCCTCACATCGTAAAGTAGGTGAGAAACCAGAGGACGTGTAGAATATATCCAGGTAAAGCCAAGTCTTCAATGATGGCGATTATTTAGGAAAATTTGTCTCTCCCTAATTTTGTCATCTTTGTCCCAACTGAGAATCAGAAAAATCCATAGATATCCACCCCTATTTTTTCAAATCCTGCCATTCGTAGTCCGAATTGTCCATCAGAATACCATCGTACTAAGGGTGAACTTACTCATCTGGAGGAGGCTCGCCAAAGGATCTTTGTAGACATTATTCCAACTGACTAGATAAGCTTCTCTCATAAATGCTTTTAACTCCGTTCTCGATGTTTAGAATTTGACAGTTTGACTTCCTCGATTACCTGTAAGTACACTATCATTACCAACTATATACGAAACGAGAAGTCGTTTGTGACAAGCATACAGTCTATCGTAAAGCTGGACTTACTCATATTAAGGAGTATCTTCTCGTTTAAGTTACCCAAAAAGATCTTTGTAGCCGTACCCTTCGTTCTATTATTCTAGCCGTTCTCCGTTCTCGTTGTCAAAAACAGTTTAGCGTTTGTCAGGTTGATATCCTCGAGTGTCCTTGCCTTCGCAGAAAATTCTTCATTACCGAATATTTTTGAGTGCACTCTGACCAAGTA